TGTCATGTTCAAACTATCATACAAAATTATATCAGGGTTGCATATTGGCAAAAAAAAAAAACATAACAACAAAAAAATTATTTGTCTCACTTTTGTCGGTAGTGTGAACATGACATTGGTTGTGTCATATTAACATTCATACAAAATCACTATACAGACACATTGCTGCATATTGGTTTCATTTGATCACATTTTTTACAGTTGTGTTGAACAGTTGTTAGTTTGTGTATAAATACTGCTTGTTCTTAGGACATTGTGGTTTATTAGTATTTTAGTCTTTATGATAAGAACAAGCTATGTTGTTGAAAATGTGCCAAAAGTGTAGACAATATAAAGATACATGGTCAAGTTGTGTGTCATTAAGATAAGTATTTTATTGCCACAACAAATTTAAGTTTTATTTGTTAAGAAAAAATAAAAAAAATTGAAACTGTAACCATTTAAATTACTTTGTTTGCTGATACATATTTATTTAATTTCATTTAAGTTTTTTTTTGCATGTTATAGTTTCAACCATTGTTTATTCTAATGATTTTAATTTGTGATTCATATCTTGACAGGCCACGGTCTCTTCGGCTCCTTTGAGATGCTGTCATCATGGAGGCGAACACGCGAGGACCAACATGTGAAAGAGCGTGTGGCAAGTGTATTTGAAGATGTCATGCTGCGTTTTTCTGGATCCACTATGATACATCTGATGACGCTGGGCCTGGCCGCCTCGCCACTCACCAACATGGAAGCAGTGCGGCTTTTTTGTGGCACCGCTGCCCTCACCATCAGCATCAGCTATGTTTACATGTTGTCATTTTACAGCTCCTGTCTGGTGTTCACTGGCTACCTAGAGACCCGGTACAGACATGGCTGCTTCTGCCGGAGAGTCCCCAAACAGGACAGATTGGACTCTAAACCGGCTTGGTACCGGTGTTTGATGTATACTCGTTACCAGGATGAGATGCAATCGTCCAACCTGCCACAAGGGGTTGGCCACCCTCAGACGTTAAACTCAAACTTAACTCACACTGAAACTCAAACACCAAACAGTTCTGGTGTGCGTGGACATCTGACTAATTCCACAAACACACATCCACACTCTCACACTCATTCCACAGCAAGTATGTGTTCTCATCCTCAGGATTCACACCTTTTACTGGGGTGTGTGCATCGTTGCTATGGGGACTGGATCACTAACACTTATGTTAAGCCCTTTGTAGTTCTACTGTATCTGGTTTACATCTCCTTTGCACTGATGGGGTTCCTACAGGTAAGAAACTCATTAAAACAACAAAATGATGACATAATTCACATTAACTATTACAATGTTAACAAGATTGGTTACAGATGTTTATATTGCCTCTATTGCCAACAGGTGACCCAAGGGTCTGACCCCAGCGCTTTAGTCGCCATGGATACAGCAACAGTACTGTACACTCGTGCCCAGCAGCGTTACTTCAGTTCCTACTCCCCAGTGATTGGATTCTACATCTATGAAAGTGCACCCTACTGGAATGTCTCAGTACAGCAGGACCTGCTGGAGTACGCCAAAGGCTTCCAGAGAATCAGCTGGCTGGAGTCTTACCTGAACTATCTGTTAGACCGCAACGAGTCCACCAACCAGCTGCGGGAAAACTTCACCCACACACTGCGCCACTCCTTCCTCCGTGAGCCGCAGTTTGCTCACTTTGAGGATGATATTATATTTGCTGAGCGCAGCCAGGGGGAGGAGCCTGACGTGGCGGCTTCACGCATCTTTCTGGTCGCCAAGACAACAGAGAACAAGCGTGAGGAGATGTCAGTGCTGCTGGACACACTACGTCGTCTATCCCTCACTTCCCGTGTTCGCTTTCTAATTTTCAACCCCTCTTTTGTCTACTTGGACCGGTACGCTACAGCTGTCAGCTCCCCCCTCAGACACTCACTGCTGGCGGTGCTCTTTCTGTTGGGGCTGTCCTCTATGGCCTTCGTGGAGCCACTAGTGTCTGTGTGGCTGGGTCTCACCCTGCTCTCTGTCCAGTTCGGAGTGCTGGGCTTCATGACTTTATGGGGGGTAGAGATGGACTGCATGTCTGTGTTGTGTTTAATCTCAGCTCTGGGACACTCCACAGACTGCAGTGGCCCACTCCTTTGTGGCTTTGCCTCAGGTCGGGGTGAGAGTAGGACTCGGTGGGTTCGATTGGCATTGGAGAGACATGGCGTCCCTTCTTTACAGACGCTCGTGTGCTACAGTGCTGCCCTGGGACCTGTTGGTTGTGTACGCTCAAACCTCACAAGCACACTTTTCCGCTGCCTCATTCTAACGGCCGGCTGCTCAGCCCTGCACACGTTGGCCTTCTTGCCCACTCTCCTCACATTCCTACCCCCATCCAAGAGCGGAGACCACCGTCCAGGAAAAGATTGTCAGCGGCAGGAGGTGGAGTGTGTTGAAATGAATGACAGCACCAGAGTAGTGGACCAAATTACTACTGTTTGAGCATGGGTTGATGTGGTTTATTTTGGCTCAAGTGTTGCTATGGTGACGGATTTATCTGGGAGCTGTCTCAGTGTGCTCAAAACAGCCACAAATCTTACTGCTAAGGAGAGTGGTGGCACACACAAAGGCTGAAGGATGAAGACGGGGCAACAAAAAGTAGAAATATGCATAAAGAAGAGAAAATAAGTGAAAGGGTTTAAAGGGAAGCAAATGAAGAAAGAAAGAAAAAGGCAGGTCCAGGATGCAGTGTCACCATGGTTTCATGTTTATTGCTAATGCTGTGTGGCATGCAAATGAGTTTGCCCCCCACAAAAAAAAAACAATCACATCTTAAATGAGCCTGAATGCATTCAGAGAGGAAGTGCAACACCTTTCACTTCTACAAAACTTGTTTTAGATCCAATCACATTGTTGACCTACTGCTGTTTGTTTGCCATATTATGTTGCACAATTTTAGCTTCAATGACATGAAGCAGTCAAATGTAAAAACTTGAGTATTTCTACTTTAATGCTGGACAAATAAAGGCAGAATACCAACATTTGCTTTGCTTTTTCCTTATAAAACCCAGATAAAAATTGATTGTGTGAAGGTACAGTAACCAGTTTACTGACAAATGCAGTAAACGTGACTGGTGCATCAAATATATGGGTTTAATAAAGTTAATCAACATTTTATGAATATTTACTAAACAAATCGGGAAAAAGTAAATTGAGAACATTTGTTTTAATTCTCTTGTTCATACAATCCTGTGAAAAGAAAAAGTACAGGTACTTCTCAAAAATTTAGAATATCGTGAAAAAGTAAAACTAAAAAGTCAATAATTTAAGAAATGAAATTCATAATTACATAGATTTATTACACAGAGTGAAATATTTCAAGCCTTTACTTCTTGAACTTTTGATGATTATGGCTTACAAATAGTGAAAAACCAAAACTCAGTGTCTCAGAAAACTAGAATATTCCACAGTCAGCTTTTGGTACCTTTGTCAGTGTGGGCAGGAGCCAAGTCCTTCTGTAAAATGAAATCAGCATCCCCATAAAGCTCGTCAGAAGATAGAAGCATGAAGTCTCCAAAATGTCCTGGTAGCTGCTGCGTTGACTCTGAGGACTTCAGAAAACACAGTGGACCAACACCAGCAAAGGACATGGACCCAAACCATCACTGACTGTGGAAACTTCACGCTGGACTTCAAGCAACATGGATTCTGGGCCTCTACACTCTTCCTCCAGACTCTAGGACCTTGATTTCCAAATGAAACGAACATTTACTTGAATCTGAAAAGATGACATTGGACCACTGAGCAAGAGTCCAGTTCTTTTTCGCCTCAGCAGGTAAGACACTTCTGATGTCATCTCTGGTTCAGGAGTGGTTTGACTTGAGGAATGCAACATTTGTAGCCCATGGCTAGGAGTTAATTAGTTGATTAGGGTATGAGACCTCATAACAATATTCTTATTTTTTGGTACACTGATTTTTTAAAATTATTAGTTCTAACTCATAATATTCAAAATTACAAGAAATAAAGATTATACATATATACATTTATATATATATATGTATATGTATATATATATGTATACATATATATATACATATACAT